ATAGGAGGCTTCAATGAATTCTGGATAGAAACCTTCACGCACCCAGCCCTACCAGACACTAGACCGGTCCAGGAATACCTTCCAACTAATAATGACCTGATCGCCCCAGTTTCAACTGAAGAGATCAAATGGGCACTAAAAGAAATGGTCAAATCCGCGGCCGGTGTTGACCGCATAACTGCTAGGGACCTCCAGAAAATTAACCAAACTAGTCTGGCTGGGTATGTGAACACTCTTTTGCTGACGTCTCTTCTACCTTCACCCCTGTCAGCTTGCAGGGTAACCTTCATTTCCAAGACATCACACCCCGACAACCCTACTGACTTCCGGCCTATCTCCATAACTTCTGCCGTCACGCGCTGTCTGCACAAGATTATCGCCAAGCGCTGGTCCAGATCATTCCCAACGGAAAAACTACATTTTGACTTCCTGCAACGTAATTGCTGCTTCGAAGTGACCAATCTTCTTCACGTCATCATGAGAGAAGCACACTCCAACTACACAAGTTGCGCATTAGCTATTCTCGACATTTCGAAAGCTTTCGATAGCGTCCCACATCAAACAATTTTAAGGGTGGCTGAAAGTTTTGGTGCGCCACCAATGCTTAGAGAATATCTTACAAACTACCATTCCAACTCCTACGGTCTCTTCCGTGAAGTGAAGTGCCATCCAACGCGAGGGATTAAACAGGGTGACCCTCTGTCGCCGCTTCTATTCATCATGACTATGGATGAGATACGCAATGTATTTGTAGCTCATGACCCCGTCTACGTTGATGGTCATCCTTTGCACTACATAGCATATGCTGATGATCTCATCATCATAGCTCCAAACGCTGCGGCTCTTCAAAACAAACTCAGCCTTATCGCCGCCTCGCTGGAAATTGCGGGATTATCGATCAACGTCAACAAAAGCCGTACAATCAACATAGTCGCTGACAGACAGCGTAAAATCATGGCTCTTTCTCCAACTATCTTCAATATCAACTGCCAGTCAATGCAAGCTATCTCGCCAACAGAGGAATTTACCTATCTGGGTGTTCCCTTCAATCACAAAAGCAGGCACTGCTTCGATCATGTGGGCGTCCTCAATGGATACTTAGACAATATGAAACCCGCCCCCCTCAAGCCTCATCGACAAATTAAAATCCTGAAGAACAATCTGATTCCTCGTCTACTCAACTCACTGACTCTCAGCATCACTCACAAGAATACTCTGAAGACGATGGACAAACTTGTTCGTGTAGCTGTCCGCCGATGGCTTCACCTCCCGAAAGACACTCCGACTCCATTTTTCCACGCCAATATTAGAAAGGGAGGCCTGGGAATCATGAATCTCCCAACACCGATTCCAAACCATAGGCGCAAAAGAATCCAGGCCCTGATCAACAATAGGAATCCGCTCATACGCAGCATAGCGTCCTCCGCAACCTTCACGTCTTTTCTTAGGATCTACAATCTTCCGATGCAGGCCCACAGACAAATAGTAACATCTGCAGAAGAAGCACATGAAAGCTGGGCACAACAGCTACACTCATCAGCGGATGGTTATGGTTTGACGGAATCAACAACATGTTATGAATCTCACAAATGGCTTCTCAACCCTGAAATGTTCTTGCCCAAACTCTATGTACGGGCCGTTCAACTACGTGGAGGAATCTTGGGCACAAAAACGAGACATGCGCGGGGACGTCCTAGAGTCGACATCCACTACAGAGACGGGTGTGGTCAACCAGAAAATCTTCAACATATTCTTCAGTATTGCGCTCTTACTCATGAGGTCAGATGCGAGAGACACAACGACGTCCTCAAGCTCATCACCAACAAACTCCGCCAATTCAATACCAGATTATACATTGGGCCGCGTGTTCCAACGCCCACGTCTTTCTGTCAACCAGATATGATTATCCTGTTGGACGGTGTGGCATACATTCTCGACTTAACGATCTTCAGCGACGCTCATATTACATCAGCCATGCGCCGAAGATTTCAAAATACGGAGCTCCAACGACGGTTGCTGCATGTATACGATTCCTGTCTACAATGGGACATACAGTTCAAAGAATCATGCAAATTCCTGTTGTAATCTCTTATCGAGGGATGATCAGTCAACTCTCTGCAAAATACCTTCGCAGACTCTTTTTCACCTCCTTCGACACTTCATGCCTCTGCATCTCAACCATTTAAGGCCCTTTGAAAATCTATGGAACGTATGGACCCAGATGTAGAAAAGAATTGAACCAGTGATATTGTAAATTTATCGTCATATAGGAATACTTTTGTTTCTTCCGTTTACTCTCCTACCATTTGGCAGAATTCACACACGAGACATATTGTGACACTCATAAACATACATATACTCATTGAACAGATAATACTGTTATTAAAATGCCTGATAACTTTGTTTATTCTATATATTCTAATTGTTCTACACTACATACACGCAAAGAGCATATTGTCCCTATAAACTTCTCCGCTATTAAATACTATTACTACATTCAACTGTCGATACTATCCCATGATTCATACATGCAAGCAGCATTCACATGCTCAAAATTAAAAGAGACTTGTATTACATTTGATGATTCTATAAACATAAATTATTAAAAATCATACTTTTGTACCAGTCGCGAATATCTCACATCAACACATGACATAAACAATCAATCACAATCACACATATATGTGCACACACTTCTAACTGACAGTGCTGTAGAAAAAGTACACATTATGGGATTCAACATGGGCTGCTGTGCTAATTTTTCTACACTTTTGTCTATTATTTTTGGTAGCTTAATTGACTAATTTACGTTTATATATTTATTTATCTTTACGAAGGTTACCTATGTTATTTAGGAATCATTATTTTGTACTTATTTTTCTATTGATATTTTGCATTATTGTATTTTATGTTTGTGTGTGTGTACTCAACTAGAATATTGTAAAAATTGTCCATTCGCGGAAGCGAATTTTATTCGAAAATAAATATATTAAGCTGGCGATCGTGCACGAACGAGCGAACGAACGCAACACGACGGTGTGCAAATGGTGTGGATGCTTGACTGCTTCCGCGAATGGACAATTTTTATTTAATATTCGAAAATAAATATGTTAAGCTAGTGGTCGTGCACGAACGAACAAACGTGACAGGACGGGGTACCAAATGGCGTGAATACTTGAACGGAAGCCTTCAGTTAAAGAAGTTGACTTCAACAGCGAGTGTCAGCATCCAATGTACAGCAACAAATGCTGTGGTCAATAATATTTAGAAATTAATTAGGGCTTCAGTACTATATGCACGTAGTAAACATGGAATTTATCTGAAACAACAATGTGACTTTATCTCGAAACAAGCGCTGTCAGACAACTCTCCGAAACTGTCAGTGTCCAGCTCTTACTACGCTGGAACTCACGCTCTCCCTGGAAGACTTTCAGAAGCAATTTGTATTAACCAACGCTGAAAACCAGAACACAGATTGGCGACTAGAGAATCCTTTATTCCTACGCCAAAATGTAACCAACAATAAGGTTAATACACACAAGGTCTAAGAATAAATGTTATAAAAATAAATCACGATAATACTTCTGATAGTTTTCTCTCTTCCACCGAACAGCAAACGATGAGACGATGACTGATGGATTGATGAATCCCGTGAAAATATGGAGGAGTTGGCTATGAGCAAACAACCATGAATTGATCCTTCAATCTTCAACTGCATTAACAAGTGTGGACAAGGATAACTGAGTTTACTGAACACTTCAGTGCGTTTACACTCTTGCGTTTTATTCGTGTAAATGCTTAGTCTATGTAAATTAATTATTACTTTTTACTTGTCAATATACAGTCTACAGTTTACAATTTATTTAGGATAGTAGGCTATATGCCTGTGTTAATCCTTTCGATTTATTGCATACAGGAGGTCCAATCTCGCCTTGAATGAATCAACGGATGGCGCTGATACGACGTGTTCCGGTAGGGAGTTCCAATGGTTCACAATTCGATGCGAAAAACGGATTTCCAGGCGCAGACGATTCGACCGTGGTTTTTGAACCTTGAGGTGATGTCCTCGCAATTGGTTGGTGCTAAAAGGAAGAAATAATTTAGATAAATTAGCTCCAAAATCATTTCTTAGGATACGGTATGCTAGTATTAGGTCACCCCTAAGTCGTCTGTATGACAGTGGAAATAAACCCAGTCGACTTAACCTCTCCTCATATGACAGGGTTGAGAAACCCTTTATTAGCTTAGTTCCTACTCTTTGCACCCTTTCTAATAAGTCTATTTCGTATTTGAAACACGGGCTCGCTGCCTGGATCCCATATTCCAAATGAGGTCTGATATAAGTCGGATATAATATACGAAATATATCGCAAAAGCCTTGCGTATGGCCCATAACATTCGAAAACCCTTAGTGGCTGCAGTTCTACAGTTTGTTGCTGTTTTCAAGTCATGCTGCACAACCACTCCCAAGTCCTTGTACTCAGTGACCACTGGGAGAGTAAAGCCATTCATTGAGTAATTGTGCACGTGACTATGGGATACATGCATAACTACACTCTTGCTTAAGTTAATCTCCAAGGCCCAGTGCTTACACCAATCACTTAACAAGTTTAAATCTTCCTGCAAAGCAAGTTGATCACTGTCATCGTGCAAAGCCCTCCATATCTTGATGTCATCAGCAAACGGTAAGCAGGATGACTTAACTACCGATGGAATCTCATTAACATAAATCAGGAAAAGAAGTGGGCCTAGAATTGTACCCTGAGGAACGCCACTCTTAACCGATTCCCATGTTGATAAAACCCCGTTAACTCGTACTCTTTGTCTTCTGTCCTCTAGAAAGTCTTGAATCCAGTCGGTAACCACTTTATTGATTCCCAGACTACCTAACTTTACTAGAAGACCTGAATGAGAAACCCCGTCAAACGCCTTGCTAAGGTCTATGAATATGGCATCCACCGGTATATTAGCATCAGCTGAGCTTGCCCAACTTTCTCTGGCCAAAAGAAGGTTGGTCAAGCAAGAATGACCTGCTCTAAAACCGTGCTGTTCCACAGCGAAAAGTTTGTTCCCTTCAATGAACTGAATGATAGCATCACGAATTATTCTTTCTAGTAGTTTAACAACAATACTGGTCAAACTAACAGGACGATAGTTCTGAACTAAGTTTCTAGATCCGGTTTTGAAGACCGGACTAATGATGGCATCTTTCCAGTCTCTTGGACATTTAGACTGGTCCAGAGACATATTGAAGATTACCGACAATGGCTCGGCTATGCTTTCAGACAACGCTGTTAATATACGTGGGTGGAGTTCATCAGGGCCACTGGACTTACCAGGATTGAGCCTTAGAAGCCACTTTAGGACAGTATCCTTTCCAATGTATAAGGGTGCCATTTTCAAGTTACCTTTTGGAAAATTTACAAAGCTGGTATCAATATTATCAGAGAATACTTGACTAAAGTGCTTGGACAAAGCCTCAGCCTTAGTCAAGTTATCCTCAGCCATGTTTGTCTGGTCAACTTCAAGCATAAGGGGTGGGATAGCATCACTCTTACGTGTTCTTCTCTTGATATATGAGAAGAGTCTTTTTGGGCAGCCTGGTGAACTTTTAACTAACTGGGTTTCGTAAGCTATCCTTGACTGGTGGATCAAAGTTTTACACTGGTTTCTGGTTTCACAGTATTTCAGCCGGAACTGCTGTAGCCCAGTAGAAACAAAGAGATTCTAGAACCTTTTTCTCCGTCTCAGGAGTGTTATAGCTTGTCTATTTATCCATGGTGGCCGATTTGTTGGCCTTTTAGGAACCCTCCAGGGGATGAGATCAGTGGTAACCCTCTCAAGTATATTCTTAAATCTATCCCATTCATTTTCAATGGATGAGACAATGTTGACTGACCAGTCGGCAGTTGAAGCACGCTCCTTTATAGCCACTATGTCAGCATGCCAAACACTAGGCCGGGATTTGGGTTGAAAACTGACTAAATTGCCAGCCCTTAAGTTAAAATCTAACACCCCATGATCACTGTTTGCTAGAGGTGGATGAATAACTAGACCATCCACGTCGTCGTTGTCATGAGTAAGCACTAAGTCCAGCAAGGAAGATCCTTGGGTAGAACCGAATCTTTTACTACCTAAGACATGTTGTGTCAGGGCATTTTCCATGGTTGTCAAGAGTAACCGGCTGTCAAACTTATCAGCGGATCCTGGAGATGTGACAGCTACCCAGTCTATATGAGGTGCATTAAAATCACCTAGAATAAGACAGCTACTGTGTTTACTCCATTGTTTGAGGTGATCTAAAATGAAGTCATCACACTGACAATAGGGACTTCTATACAGAACTCCAATGAGTAGAGTGCCGGTTGCAAAGCTTACTTCACAGCTAATTACCTCACCTGTCCCACTGTCATGAGCTTCAGATTTCACGGAACGAACATGTAGGGAGTTGTTGACGTACAGAGCAACCCCGCCACCTCTACGACCCTTAACTCTGTCGCTGCGCAAGCAACTAAATCCGCATAGCTCAGGTGTGTCATCTAATCCCGAAACCAGCCATGTTTCAGTAATGGCCACAATACCTGGGCTAAGGTCTTCTACTAATACACCTAGCTCGTGAAATTTGTTCCCGATACTACGTATATTAGTGTACACTACCTTCAGGCTTCCTAAGCGGTCTGGCTTATCCACACAGGTCTTGGAAGCATACGTTTCCAAGACCTGACTATTTGAAAACCCACCAGTTTAAGGTTAGTCTCACCATTTTTACGTCTTGTTTCTAGCTGGGACAAAACTTCTTTTCGTTTAAGTCTGTCTTCAAGAGATAAATCAGGTCTGGCTGAAATTCCTGACCCGGCAAGGTTGTGTACATTAGCCAGTAGATGATTCCGTTCATCAGGAGAACCTAAGACTACTTTAAGCAACCTACGCTGACTAGAACATTCATCATCTTTTTTGCCTATTCTAATCAGCTTTTTAATCGATACTCCAGGGAAATTCGCTGGGAGCATCTTCCTTATAATACTACTCACTAATTTAAGGTCGTGATCGTGCCTTTTCACGGGATCAGATTCTTTGGACTCTTCCAAATTTCCAACAATTATGTTAGAGTCTAGGAGAGCTTGTCGTATTTAGCAGTGGCTACGTCCTTTCTCACCACTATTGATGCAGCCTGGCTGCAGGTGACAGACGTTTGCCTACCATCAGTATTACTATATTTCTTCCGACTGCTTATTTTTGTTACCCATTTATCATCTGCCTGCAGTTGCTTCTCAGGGCTGCTGCAGTTTTTGATGGTACAATCAAGATCAGTGTCTGCACCACCTTCATGGTGAACATGGCTTACGGTGTTCTCTGGTTCTGAGATGCTGTTTACAGCTTCCGTTTTGTTACCTTTTCGCTTACTAAGACGCTTCGAACGCCTAGTAGGTTTTACTTCCGGGGTAACTGGGATAGTAACCGCCGGTGTGATAAAATTCATGAAGTTGTAGCGGTAAATAATTCCCCAAAATTATTGACCACAGCAATCACTCATTGGATGCTGACCACCACTGTTTAAGTCGACTTGTTTAGCTGAAGGCTTCCGGTCAAGCATCCCCGCCATTTGGTACCTCGTCGTGTCACGTGCACGATCACTAGCTAGCTAAGCGTTCGTCTAACGGCTGGTTTTGGTTACTAAATATATATCTTGGTTTGGACGATCGATTACTGGCTTTTGCTTTGTCTTTGGTACGCGAGAATAAATTAATTAGAAGTTGTTGAACGAGATATCACGTCAAACCTTTAATATCCGTCAACGTCTAAACTGGTGAACCCGACTGTGCCTCTTTGATTCAGCCATTGACAGACCTCCTTCGAGGGAATAACAAGTCCATAGAACTTGACGCGTCTGCTCGAAATGCTTTTACCCAGATTAAAAAAGCTATTGCGAATGCCACACTTCTGATGTATCAGGATCCAACGGCACCGTTAAGTATCTCGGTTGATGCATCAAACACTGCAATCGGCGCAGTTCTACAACAGCTAGTTGACAATGAGTGGCAACCACTTGCCTTTTTCTCCCGGCGCCTTCAATTAGCTGAAACGAAGTACAGCACATTCGGCAGAGAACTTCTGGCTATGTACTGTGCTATACGACATTTTAGACATTCGGTAGAGGGTCGTGAATTTATAATTTTTACGGATCACAAACCTCTGACGTACTCTCTGAACTCACCTTCAGATAAGTATTCACCCAGGGAATCACGACAACTGGATTACGTCTCACAGTTTACATCAGATATTCGCCATGTATCCGGAGTAAACAACACTGTGGCAGATGCCTTGTCGCGCGTTTGTTCTTTCACCCAAATCGACGGCATAGACCTAGTAAAACTGGTTCGTCTTCAAAAAGAAGATGCCGAACTTCAACATGAGTTGTCGAAAACAACTCCACAATTAGCTGAGAAACCCTTAGATATGGGAAGAGATACTATTCTATGCGACATTTCCACGAGTACTCCTCGCCCCATCGTGCCTAAAAGCTATCGCCGTAACGTCTTCAATACGTTGCATGGCTTATCTCACCCAGGTATTCGCACTACTGTCAAGCTCGTAACTAGTCGGTTTTGTTGGCCTGGCATTAATAAAGAAGTAAGGGAATGGGCACAAACGTGCTTAGCTTGTCAAAAGTGCAAGGTGATAAGACACACCAAAAGCCCACTTGGCACCTTTCTTCTCCCTGACGCTCGTTTCGAACACGTCCATATAGATTTGGTTGGTCCCCTTCCTGAATCACATGGATATACTTATATTTTAACTTGCATAGATCGCTTCACACGATGGCCGGAAGCAGTACCCATCAAGGACGTATCTGCTGAAACAGTCGCACGCGTCTTCGTAGAAAGATGGATTGCTAACTTTGGATGCCCATCTTCCATAACAACTGATCGCGGGCGGCAATTCGAAAGTGGCTTATTCTTTGCCCTGACTAAAATATTAGGTTGCATGCGATTTCGAACAACAGCCTACCATCCTCAAGCTAATGGTATGGTAGAACGTCTACACAGACAGCTGAAAGCTGGTCTGTCAGCTGCAAACACCACCCATTGGACTGAATCCCTCCCGTTAGTTCTCCTAGGGATACGAAACGCCTTGAAAACCGATGCTGGTTGTACTAGCGCCGAGCTAGTATATGGCACGACACTGCGACTGCCTGGTGAATTTGTTTCTCCCTCGAGCTTCCCACCAGTGGTAGATCACGCTTCATACGTCAGCAGGCTTACAAACGCAATGCGTTCAGTTAAACCTGCTCCCCTTCGCCCACAGTCCATTGATGTTTTCGTTCATCCGTGTTTGAAAACTTCTTCACATGTATTTGTTCGTCGCGACTCTGTGCGCAGACCCCTGGAACCCCCATATGACGGACCTTATAAGGTAATTAAACGTTCTGATAAATTCTTTGTCTTGGACAAAAACGGCCGCGAGGACACCGTCAGCATTGACCGTCTGAAACCGGCTTACTTGGAGGGTAATCCTATTAGCATACAGCTGAACGTACACCAAAATCCACAAGTAACAGAAGATCGTGTAGACATCGATGAAGTCGCTGGCACAGCGACAGCTACCGAACCTTCTATCGAGCCTCCCAAGAAAACCCGTTCTGGACGCACCGTAAGTTTCCCAGAATATCTGCACACTTATTTGACTTAACGAATTCTTGTAATTCACGCAACTCACTCGTTTTTGGTACTATTTTTTTTTTGACGTAAAAATTTTTTTTATATACAGTACCACCGAACACAAAAAAATGTTTTTTCTCAACAGTTCATGTAACATACACAAAAAATTAATTAGATGTATTTTTTTTTCGATGTTCTGAACTTAGCATTATTTTACTGTATAGTAAATGCACATAATTTTTTTTAACCAAAAAGGTCATTTCGTACATTTTCCTCGACATGGTTCTTAGCGTTCTTGTTTTCTTTTCCAGGTGCGACGGGCACTGGACGGGAAACAAACGAAGCACGGAATCCAACGAACAACACCAGGAAGCTATGTACAAACACCCCATTAGCATAGACAGACAAACCAGTAGGCATAAGACCAAGCCGCTCGGGAGATTTTTTTCACCCGAAAGGGAACCATCGAGTTTTTTTTACTTCCGGCTGGTTCTGTCTTAGGGTCCTCACGACCCCCCCAGGGGGGGAGTGAGCTGTAGCGGTAAACAATTCCCCAAAATTATTGACCACAGCAATCACTCATTGGATGCTGACCACCACTGTTTAAGTCGACTTGTTTAGCTGAAGGCTTCCGGTCAAGCATCCCCGCCATTTGGTACCTCGTCGTGTCACGTGCACGATCACTAGCTAGCTAAGCGTTCGTCTAACGGCTGGTTTTGGTTACTAAATATATATCTTGGTTTGGACGATCGATTACTGGCTTTTGCTTTGTCTTTGGTACGCGAGAATAAATTAATTAGAAGTTGTTGAACGAGATATCACGTCAAACCTTTAATATCCGTCAACCTCTAAAATGTCACTTACTGCGTCATCTTGCGAAATGGTGTAAGGCGAATTTAAACTGTATCACTTCTAGGAGTGTTATGTCCTAATGAGATCTCTGTGTTATTGGAATTCAATTGGAAGTTGATGGAGTTCCATTCGGTGGAAGACATTCGAAATCCACCAACAAATGTTTTGCACCCGAAAAGATTTCTATAATCATTTGCCGAAATTGATTTTCCATACAACAACAACAACAAGGGAAAGTAAGTTAACTCATTCACTAATAACCATTCAGGTACTCTTTGTTCCAGTTTGTGATGCCGGATAACCTTGAATGTGGTTATCCAGTTGTATTTGCTTGAAATGCAAAGTCCGTTGGGTGCGTAGTGCGAAGAGTAACAAACCAGGACTAAACAGCTGTCCAGTACTCCCTGGTTGGTTTTCCAATGGTTCTCTAACTGATGTCAGCACATGATGAAATCCTCCAACCAATCAAACAAAATCCCCACAAAACCAATATTTAAAAATAACGGAGTCTGTCGAGATGAGGCGTTTACTTATAGATGGTTGAAAAATATGAGTCAGAAGTTCGACGTTCATATCCATTCTAGCTACAGATAATTTCCTTAAGGAGTTCCGAATTTCTAAGTGATCTGGAAGCGAGTGATTATTAGGACCAGTGTAACTTGCATAATGGATGCATTAGTTGCAGGATGTACCCGGAAGTTCTCTTTCGACACAAAATTAATACTAATTGTAAGCGGTGTTACATTTCAGAAGAACAATGCGTAGTATTCTTCTGGTCCCAATACACACATTGATATCAACATAAGGTGATGCCACTCGGTGCAGTAAGTAGTTAAGGGCTCACGACATTCCATGTGACAATGTAAATTCCACTCGTATCATGTCTTCAGCTGAACAATTTTAAGCATGAAATTCATCGAAATGGACGTAATCACCGCAATCTTCAACCATTTGTCTCATTCATAATATTATTTCTTCGTTGTGTTATGAAGGACTTCACTCATCATAGGTGAAAATCAAAAAGCCTACACTCCTCGAAAGAGATATTTGACTTGTATCTGTGGATTTATTCTTCATCAAAGGCCTGTATCTCACGGAATAAATGCCATAACATTAAGCTTTGCATGTAATCAATTTACAACTTGAACATCAAAGGAAATCACAAATATGAAACCTAAAGGCGCTCAAACAAAAATAGGGGCAGTTTCTGTGCATAATTTCTCTTAGTGAATGTCTTCC